AAATTTTGAAAAAATAAAATTTTAAATTTGAATGCAGTTCTTTAGAGAACTGCTCCAGAAACATTTAGAGGTATGCCACTTCAAAATCCGAATAATATTAGTTGAGTTATGGACTTTAGAACTTCAGCCTAGGGACATTTTTGAATTTCCACAACATCATAACATCAGAAAAATGACAAAAAAATTTTGAAAAAATAAAATTCTAAATTTGAATGCAGTTTTTTAGAGAATTGCTCCAGAAACATTTAGAGGTATGCCACTTCAAAATCCGAATAATATTAGTTGAGTTATGGACTTTAGAACTTCAGCCTAGAGACATTTTTGAATTTCCACAACATCATAACATCAGAAAAATGGCAAAAAAATTTTGAAAAAATAAAATTCTAAATTTGAATGCAGTTTTTTAGAGAATTGCTCCAGAAACATTTAGAGGTATGCCACTTCAAAATCCGAATAATATTAGTTGAGTTATGGACTTTAGGAATCCGCCTAGGGACATTTTTGAATTTCCACAACATCATAACATCAGAAAAATGACAAAAAAATTTTGAAAAAATAAAATTTTAAATTTGAATGCAGTTCTTTAGAGAACTGCTCCAGAAACATTTAGAGGTATGCCACTTCAAAATCCGAATAATATTAGTTGAGTTATGGACTTTAGGACTTCTACCTAGGGACATTTTTGAATTTCCACAACATCATAACATCAGAAAAATGACAAAAAAATTTTGAAAAAATAAAATTTTAAATTTGAATGCAATTCTTTAGAGAACTGCTCCAGAAACATTTAGAGGTATGCCACTTCAAATTCCGATTAAGATTAGTTGAGTTATGGACTTTAGAACTTCAGCCTAGGGACATTTTTGAATTTCCACAACATCATAACATCAGAAAAATGACAAAAAAATTTTGAAAAAATAAAATTTTAAATTTGAATGCAGTTCTTTAGAGAACTGCTCCAGAAACATTTAGAGGTATGCCACTTCAAAATCCGAATAATATTAGTTGAGTTATGGACTTTAGAACTTCAGCCTAGGGACATTTTTGAATTTCCACAACATCATAACATCAGAAAAATGACAAAAAAATTTTGAAAAAATAAAATTTTAAATTTGAATGCAGTTCTTTAGAGAACTGCTCCAGAAACATTTAGAGGTATGCCACTTCAAAATCCGAATAATATTAGTTGAGTTATGGACTTTAGAACTTCAGCCTAGGGACATTTTTGGTTTTCCACAACATCATAACATCAGAAAAATGACAAAAAAATTTTGAAAAAATAAAATTCTAAATTTGAATGCAGTTTTTTAGAGAATTGCTCCAGAAACATTTAGAGGTATGCCACTTCAAAATCCGAATAATATTAGTTGAGTTATGGACTTTAGAATTTCAGCCTAGGGACATTTTTGAATTTCCACAACATCATAACATCAGAAAAATGACAAAAAAATTTTGAAAAAATAAAATTCTAAATTTGAATGCAGTTTTTTAGAGAATTGCTCCAGAAACATTTAGAGGTATCCCGCTTCAAATTCCGATTAAGATTAGTTGAGTTATGGACTTTAGAACTTCAGCCTAGGGACATTTTTGAATTTCCACAACATCATAACATCAGAAAAATGACAAAAATATTTTGAAAAAATAAAATTTTAAATTTGAATGCAGTTCTTTAGAGAACTGCTCCAGAAACATTTAGAGGTATGCCACTTCAAAATCCGAATAATATTAGTTGAGTTATGGACTTTAGAACTTCAGCCTAGGGACATTTTTGGTTTTCCACAACATCATAACATCAGAAAAATGACAAAAAAATTTTGAAAAAATAAAATTCTAAATTTGAATGCAGTTTTTTAGAGAATTGCTCCAGAAACATTTAGAGGTATGCCACTTCAAAATCCGAATAATATTAGTTGAGTTATGGACTTTAGAACTTCAGCCTAGAGACATTTTTGAATTTCCACAACATCATAACATCAGAAAAATGGCAAAAAAATTTTGAAAAAATAAAATTCTAAATTTGAATGCAGTTTCTTAGAGAATTGCTCCAGAAACATTTAGAGGTATGCCACTTCAAAATCCGAATAATATTAGTTGAGTTATGGACTTTAGAACTTCAGCCTAGGGACATTTTTGAATTTCCACAACATCATAACATCAGAAAAATGACAAAAAAATTTTGAAAAAATAAAATTTTAAATTTGAATGCAGTTCTTTAGAGAACTGCTCCAGAAACATTTAGAGGTATGCCACTTCAAAATCCGAATAATATTAGTTGAGTTATGGACTTTAGAACTTCAGCCTAGGGACATTTTTGGTTTTCCACAACATCATAACATCAGAAAAATGACAAAAAAATTTTGAAAAAATAAAATTCTAAATTTGAATGCAGTTTTTTAGAGAATTGCTCCAGAAACATTTAGAGGTATGCCACTTCAAAATCCGAATAATATTAGTTGAGTTATGGACTTTAGAACTTCAGCCTAGGGACATTTTTGAATTTCCACAACAACATAACATCAGAAAAATGACAAAAAAATTTTGAAAAAATATAATTCTAAATTTGAATGCAGTTTTTTAGAGAATTGCTCCAGAAACATTTAGAGGTATGCCACTTCAAAATCCGAATAATATTAGTTTAGTTTAGAACTTCAGCCTAGGGACATTTTTGGTTTTCCACAACATCATAACATCAGAAAAATGACAAAAAAATTTTGAAAAAATAAAATTCTAAATTTGAATGCAGTTTTTTAGAGAATTGCTCCAGAAACATTTAGAGGTATGCCACTTCAAAATCCGAATAATATTAGTTGAGTTATGGACTTTAGAACTTCAGCCTAGGGACATTTTTGAATTTCCACAACAACATAACATCAGAAAAATGACAAAAAAATTTTGAAAAAATAAAATTCTAAATTTGAATACAGTTTTTTAGAGAATTGCTCCAGAAACATTTAGAGGTATGCCACTTCAAAATCCGAATAATATTAGTTGAGTTATGGACTTTAGAACTTCAGCCTAGGGACATTTTTGAATTTCCACAACATCATAACATCAGAAAAATGACAAAAAAATTTTGAAAAAATAAAATTCTAAATTTGAATGCAGTTTTTTAGAGAATTGCTCCAGAAACATTTAGAGGTATCCCGCTTCAAATTCCGAGTAAGATTAGTTGAGTTATGGACTTTAGAACTTCAGCCTAGGAACATTTTTGAATTTCCACATCATAACATCAGAAAAATGACAAAAAAATTAAAAAAAAATAAAATTACAAATTTGAATGCAGTTTTTTAGAGAATTGCTCCAGAAACATTTAGAGGTATCCCGCTTCAAATTCCGATTTAGATTAGTTGGGTTATGGACTTTAGAACTTCAGCCTAGGGACATTTTTGAATTTCCACAACATCATAACATCAGAAAAATGACAAAAAAATTTTGAAAAAATAAAATTCTAAATTTGAATGCAGTTTTTTAGAGAATTGCTCCAGAAACATTTAGAGGTATCCCGCTTCAAATTCCGAGTAAGATTAGTTGAGTTATGGACTTTAGAACTTCAGCCTAGGAACATTTTTGAATTTCCACATCATAACATCAGAAAAATGACAAAAAAATTAAAAAAAAATAAAATTACAAATTTGAATGCAGTTTTTTAGAGAATTGCTCCAGAAACATTTAGAGGTATCCCGCTTCAAATTCCGATTTAGATTAGTTGGGTTATGGACTTTAGAACTTCAGCCTAGGGACATTTTTGAATTTCCACAACATCATAACATCAGAAAAATTACAAAATATCAGAAAAATTACAAAAAAATTTAAAAATAAATACATTTTCAAATGTAAATGCAGATTTTTAGAGAATTGTGCCAGAAACATTTGGAGGTATGCCGTTCATACGGACAAACGGACATGGCCATGATCCTGATCTAGAATATATATTACTTTATATGGTCGGAAACGTTTCCATCTGCCTGTTACATAATTTTCTACGAATCATATACTCTTTTACTCTACGAGTAACGGGTATAAAAATGTAAGAAACAAAGTTTGTGTACAATCTATCGACGAATTAGCCGATACAACCACCTATGTCATTCTACAGATACACGAACTGCTATCCCGATTTTACACATGCGTATAGATACATTCCTTGGCAATCAGGATAACAATGACCGCGTACCTTAGAAATCTGGATGGAAATGCTGAATAATTATTTAATTATTTAATAATTATTTTCAAATTTAGGAATATCAAAATTCAAGAAGGGAAATTGATTTGTGAGTTTACAAAATTTCGTAACTTCATGACCTGTCGTCTTTAAATCACTGAATAACAAAAATATTTATATTTATAATATTTCATATTTATATTTCCATGTATGCCATGACAAACAGAATGCTGTAGATAGCTAAACGTGATCCAGATAAAAGCCAGTGGCCTGACGTCCAACTTAATTTTTCGCATCATTTTAGCAATAAATATACAAATTTCTCAACAGGTGGTTAATTGAGAAAGTCAACCGAATCGATTTGTGTACTATTACAGAAATAGCCGTTGCGTGAATTTCAAAACCAATTACACCCCAGGATCCCCATGTGGCACTCTGATGGACTACAAATTTGCACTTGACGCGGTTTAAGTGGCCGCCAACGGATTATCAAGGGGGCAGCTGCCAGTTCATCCAAGTATCGGGGGTCGCACACACACTGGGCGACAAAGCTGATTATTCAATTATACCAGCGGCTTTGGCGCTCTTCATCCGCGTCGAGTCGCTGCCATTCACAATTTAGTGGATCGTAAATTATTCTGGGGGCAGGGAATTGCGGAAGAGCATTGAGCGAAAAACGCCTGCTACTACCGCATGGAAACCGAGATGGCCAGTCAATCGCCTTCAAAAACTAGGACTCGTTACAAGTCAAGAATTTTGTAACTAACACACTTCGTACATTTTTGTATAACGCGTTAATTTTCCAAGATTTTTTTCACGATCTTCCCTTTTGCGCGTTATGTCGGACCATTACAATTGTTTTGACTTCAGGCGGCTAAGTCATCCACTCCACCAGAAAGCTCTGCGGGTGTGCTTCCTCCGGAACGGCGATAGGCACTTCAATGGCGTTAATATGGTCATCTCTCGAGCCCATTTCAAGGACTTTCACGCTCTGCTGCAAGGAGTCACAGAGTCTCTAGGACGCCACGTGGTACTGCGATCAGCTATCGCGCATTTCTGCCGAACCGACGGATCGCATTTAACATCACTGAGCAGTTTCCGCGAAACCGACATTGTGATTTGCTGCTGTAAAAACGAAGAAATGGTTTGGGTCAAGTACAGCGTCAACAAGGACTTTCTGCGAATGGTGGAGTCCTGTAAACGTTGGCGCCAACGTCGCTTATACAGTGGATGCCTGGATCGCATAAAGCCCTACGACCTGCCGGAGGCCATACAGCTTTACATCGAGAGTCTGGAGACCGTGGTGCAAAACCCAAATACGCTGATATATCGCGGACAATCCAAGGCCAGCAGGACCAAGTGCATCGTAAAAATGGTGAACAAACAGAGAAGGAGCAATAACTATGTGGAGGCGGAGGTGCTGCGGCAGCTGCAGTCGCATCCAAACATCGTCGAACTGATGTACACGGTGGAGGAGGAGCGCTACATGTACTTGGTTTTGGAGCACCTGGACTGTGACATGCAGGACGTGATACAGGAGCTCGGTATCATGTCGGAGAAAAGTGCCAGATTGGTGATGAGATGCACGGTAGCGGCTCTGGCGCATATGCATCAGCTCCAGGTGATTCATCGGGACATCAAGCCGGAAAATCTGCTGGTCTACTTTTCATCCGGCGGTTGGAATTTCGAAATGGTCAAGGTAGCGGACTTTGGCTTGGCCACATACTATCGCGACAAGTTGTACGTCTTCTGCGGCTCACCATGCTACATGGCACCCGAGATAATCGCAATGTCGGGATACGATTATCAGGTGGACTCCTGGTCGCTGGGCGTTACTCTGTTCTATATGCTCTGCGGCCAGAGGCCCTTTGCTAGTGCCAGCCAAGATGTGAATGAGATCTATGCTGCGATCATGAGTGGTGGGCCCAGCTATCCCAAGGACATGGATGGAGTCCTGAGTCCAGGGGCCAGCCAGTTGATCGACGGACTGCTAGTGAGAAATCCGAGCAATCGTTCCACCATCGCTGAGCTCGGACAGTATCCGTTCTTGGCCTTATAGGGCTGTTCAAAATTTTCCGTTTTCGATTGTTTGGATTTTCAATAAATTTGAATAGCTTCAGCTTAGGCCCATCACAATAGCCCAAGATTTATGGTGACAGTGAACGGTTTTAATTGGCTTAATGCCGTCAAAATTAACTACGCATGACCCTACCGTTGACTGCACAGCGATACTTGTACACATAAATTTGTTATTAACGTCACAATTTATTTATTATTTGTGTTTGCACAATGCAGCCAAAATGCGCGTGAGTCGACGGTAAACACAGAGATATTACGTATACGACACCTTGTACTCGAATCCGAGCCAAGATACAAACGAGGGCCATTGTTTGCGCTATCTATTTAAATAGGGAGATCCAGTAACAGTCGTAGCTGATAAATCAGAACTTGCCAGACTAACATATCGATATTGCGACATCTCACGGGAGCCCATAGAATATCAAGCCAGCGCCACCCCTTCCGCGACGAGGGCTCAAGGTCGCCTACATTGAGAAGTGTCTCTGCCTTCTGATTTCGTTGATAAGATGAGCTTATCGCGCTTATCTTCCGCTTCGCTTTCAATTTACGAATCATTTCAATTGAACTTTTTCCGCGGCACAGCCACAAGTTGTATCTTTCGGTAACAGTATCTGTGAGAGCATCGTCGATGTGCAGTGTGTAAATTTCTCTCTTGCTGCACATGTATGTGTGTGTCACTTACAGCTCACCGCTTTCTGTTCACAAGTTTTGTTTAGTTGAAAAAAATGTTCTTTCAGTCGGCCGTCATTTAATCCATTGGTCGGACTTGCGGATCCGTAGATTCGCTGTGACAGTCGCTCTGTGGCTGCGGCTTCTGTGGGCTCAGCACGGAGTGCCCTCTGATCTCCAGTCCTCAGATCATCTCATTTCTGAAACGACTCGCGTCGCAAAACAGAACGCAACGGAGCTCGTGAAACTATAACATTGTGCCTATTATCATTTTGCAACATGCCATCTTAAAGTGCCAGAAGTATTTTGAGGCCCAGTTGCAAAGCAATGGCCATCTAACAAAAACTCGATTAAAGGGTGTCAATCAATTTATTATTAAGAAGGTGATAAAACTACTTAAGCTTAAATAATAATTATTCGACTTACAAGTGCTTGGCTCGGATCTTGTGAAAAGTACTGAAAGGTGCGAAAATCTAAACATGCTGCGGAAGCGCTTTAAATTTCAGTAACTCAAGTCTGGACTTATGCAGCTGCCAATAAAAATCGTTTAACAATGTGGCGAATATTCGCTATTTATGCGATTGAATAATGTAGTAAATATTTGCGTATTATTCCTTACATAAAATAAACTGATAAAGTATATGGTTGTATACTTTGCCAGCGGACCACAAAAATCTGTGTGAATCAGCTGACGACGTTGGCAAAAAAAAGTAGATTCTCGCACCTGGGTTGCACTTATCACAAGTTTCTGTTTGCCCACACGACGCCAAGGGAATTAATTGAAAAGGCAACTCCTTCACCTCAACCTCCCACCTCCCACCTCCCACAGATGCGTTTCAATTTCTCCACCCACTCGGCGGCCCCCGCCTCTGCGGGCACCACAACAACAACGCAGGCAAACGCAGGCGAACCGGCCACCCAACCGCTGAAGAAGGCCATCGAGGCGGATCCCGATTCGCTGGACAGCGTGATCAGCAATCCACAATCCTATCCCATCACAATTGTGCCGAATAGGCCGACCAGCTACTATGGCCTATCGCAAAATGGCAAGCCGTTCCCCCGCCAACCGAGCTGCAGGTGAGTGCTGGTGGTTATTTTCTAAGCTATTTTCCCGGGCTAAGTGATTGGGTCAATAAGTGCCGATTAGTTAGAGCAGCTCTAATTAATTGGCCAAATTCCGACCACTCTAATGTCGGCCTGGGCGGAATGGTTTGGCTAGGAGCTTTAGTTTCGTTTAGCAACGCGAAGTTTGAACGTCTAGAGAGATGCAGGTGCCGCTCAGCGATGTCCAGGTCCTGCAGGATCCCGCCGATGCGGAAACCCTTGTCGGCGGCGACAAGGAGGAGACCTTCGCCCACATGAAGGAGTGGAAGCGCCAGTACATGCGTGGCATCTCGCACACGCCCTCCCAGGCGGGAGTCTACTACGAGGCCTTGAAGGGATCCAGCCACTCGCTGGCCAAAGGGTGCGCGTGAGCCAAATAGTTTCTGATTTCAACCTCTAGATTCAAAGGAGGATCCTAAGGAAAATGTTTTTTTTTATATTTTTGTCACTATGGATGCATAGTTCCTGTACCACAAGTTCCCTAATTAATTCCTTTTGTTAATACTGCAGGAAGTAGAAACCAATGCACAGAGAAGGTTAGGTAAAAAAGACAGTTACGCTTCCGAATAACGTTTTAATATTATAAAAAGAAAATAGTTTTCTTCTACTTCCTATGTCCAGCCGGATTTTTATTTCGATGTACGAATTTTACTTGCGAAAGTACAAATAGGAGCTTCGGGCAACAATTACCCAATTACTCAGAGTTCCGCCGGCTTTCCGTTCAGTAATTAGCTCGTCAAGGGGCCTGACATTCAACTTGAACTTGCCGACAACTTGAGTTCCATCATCGCAGTGCGTCCGTGTCACGTTGTCGCATCTTTTGGGCTTTTTGTTTAGCTGATTAGCAGAGTGCCGCTCGCAGTTTGCGGTTGTAATTTATATGGCTACGCCCACGGTACTAGTTTGCTTTCCTGGCTGCAGATTGCAGTGCAAATGATTTAGAGGCGCTTTACGAATGCGATTCATTGGGCCAGGCATACTGTCTTTAGTGCCTTCTCCAAATCTTGACGGCATCTTGTTCTCACACTTGTCAGCTGCTAAACGGTTGGCCAAATGACTTCCCATCGGATTTAGCTTCCCTTTTCCCAGACACTTTCTTCACTGTTTAGCTGTTTAGCTGTTTCGATTTTATTTCTCTTATTTGTTTATTGCGTGGGCGGCTCAAAAATGTAATTAATTAATGCCGACATACTACAAAGCGGACAAAATGATTCATCTGGCACAAATTTAGCTAGCTGAGCTCTAAATTTGATTAGCCGACATAAATGCAATCGGCACAATGCCAATTAATCGACATGTGCGAGTGTCAATGTGGGGTTAAGGTAATTGGCATCCGAGAAATGCGGGTTCACGTAGGTGTAGCCAGCCCTCTTGAAATGCATTGCTGTGACAAGCAGGGGTAATAAATCAGACAATTTGTGGGAGAGCTGCAATTAAGTGTTATAAGAGTGGATGGGTCAGATTGCCCTGAAGCGTAAATGCGATCTGAATCTGTCTGATTTGTCCGCCTTGCGACATTGGCAATCGCGACTGTGTTAATTAGATGCACTACTCGTGTGTCCAGTCCAAAAAAAGACGAGTGCAAAAGCGCACACTTAATTTACGCAAATTAAAAAACACGATGTCGAGACATCCAATTTCATCTGACACTTGCATAAATCATAGAAATCGTATTCATTGCCATTTGTAATGGGAAAGATGATTAAGGATTTCTGAACAAATAAAGCTTAGGGGAATTCGACAAATATTTAAGTGCCTAATTTCGTTACCCTATAAATTTAGGAACAGAAAAAAACTTTAAGCCCTACTTATTTAATTCTATCTAAAATTCTGGGCTGCGAAAATCCAAGCGAAATCCAAAAGATTGATAATCATTGCACACTTTTAGGCTCCATGCGTAAATACCTTGATTTTCTGTTCGCAGATCTCGCAATTTCCGGCCTGGCAGCATGAGACGTGTTCGCCGACGAGCGGTCTTCAAAAATGGTGACTGCAATGTAGTGCAGAAACACCTGCAGAGACGCCGGGTTCGATTCCTGCAGGACATGTACACCACCATGGTGGATTGGCAGTGGCGATGGACTCTCTTGGCGTTCGCGCTCAGCTTCATCCTGTCGTGGCTCTTCTTTGCGCTCATCTGGTGGCTGATTATCTACACACACGGAGACTTGGAGGAGCCTCACTTGCCAGATAACCAAGGTTTGTTAAATATTAAAAAACTCAATGGTTATAAGACACATCCATCTTTTAGAGGAATCTGGTTGGGCGCCTTGTGTTTCGGCCATCGATGGCTTTACTTCCTGCTTCCTGTTCTCCATTGAAACGCAGCACACTATTGGTTATGGAGTGCGCACCACCTCGCCCGAGTGTCCAGAGGCCATCTTTATGATGTGCTTCCAGTCCATCTACGGCGTGATGTCTTCAGCATTTATGGCCGGAATAGTATTTGCCAAAATGACGAGGGCCAAACAGCGGGCACAGACTCTGTTGTTCTCCAAACACGCCGTGATTTGCCAGCGGGATGGCACCCTGTCGCTGATGTTCCGTGTTGGTGACATGCGAAAGTCCCACATCATTGGAGCCGGAGTAAGGGCTCAGTTGATAAGGACAAAGAGCACCAAGGAGGGTGAGGTGATGACGCAGTACTTCACAGAACTGGAGATCGGTACCGATGACTCCGGCTCGGATTTGTTCTTCATCTGGCCCATGGTCATCGAGCACAAGATCGACGAGAACTCACCGCTTTACAATCTCAATGCCACTGACATGCTGCAGGATAAGTTTGAGATCGTGGTCATCCTGGAGGGCACCGTGGAGTCCACTGGACAGAGCACTCAAGCCAGATCCAGCTATATAAACACTGAGATACTTTGGGGCCATCGTTTCGATCCGGTGGTGCTGTACAACAAGGACCTGCAGGCCTATGAAATTGACTACGGTCGATTTAACGAAACCACCCAGGTGGACACTCCGTTGTGCAGTGCTCGGGAATTAAACGAGATCTACAAGATCCAGGAGGGATTCCGCACACCGGGTAAGAGTTGGAGAGGCGAAGGCTTCCATCGTTTTGTTTTTCATTGTGATTTGTCCAGCAGAAACCACCTTTACCATGCGTCAACTGTCCCACAATCATTCTGATCAGGCCTCCTAGGCGCAGACTCCAGTGTTTCGTCCCTTGTGTTGCTATAGTTTGTAATCGTGTTTGTCCCATGTGAGTTAAATGCCTCACTGCTCAAAATGTGACCCATAATATTGTGAGATAT